TGGTGAGCCTTCCCCACTGGCAGAATACGATGATCACTGCCGGCAGCTATAGCTGCCAGCAGTGATCGGGAAAAAAAAAAACACAGACAGGATGGTTGTGCCGAAGTCAATAGATAGATTGACTTCAGTACAACCAGCCTTCTCTTAGATGATCTATGGTCCGCTTAAGAGAGGCCTAAGGATGCTTTACAATAAGGAATGGAAGAATGGAAAGGGGAAAACAGACTTACCTGAAGCCTGCATCTTTTACAGATCAAGCCAGCAATAGGTCCCATGAGTCTGTCTTCACAGGCCCTCTTTAAAATTAACTCAAAAACTGAACTCTAAAAATGAATCCCCCAAACTTACTCAATAACACCCAAACCTTAAACATGACACTTAAAGAGACAATGTCATTTTGGCTTAATTGGCCAAAGTGTCAGGGTTTGTGTAAAGGGGAACCCACCCCTCTAATACTCACCTTGCCTGCTGCCTCAGCCGGCTGGCAAAATTACCCAGTACTTCCCAGGAAAGGGAATCATGTGACCTCATCGCATTTGACAGTACTTGGGTCTAACCAATTGCCTGGCCTGGGCACATGACAAAGGGAGTGATGTCACCTCTTAGTATCTGACGCTAGCCAAAACTGGGTATCAAAATACCAAATTGCTGGCTGTGACAAAGAAAGGAGTTGCGGGGGAGCACTGGCTGCACAGACACTGTCACCTTGCCCTGAATGTTTAATTTATCTTTTATGGTATCTGCAGGCACTAAAAGTTGCCACACCTGCACAAGATCTCAAAGTTCTGCTGTCTTAGTGTCAAAAACTACTGATGCAACCTTAATAGTTCACCTATATAGTATCAGATAGTTTTTTTTTTATTATATAAATAAAAAACAGCATTAGGGAGTACTGCTTACATATCATTTATTGGCTTTATTAAGTGCAAACAAGCCTAATCTATTATAAATGAAAATTGGTGAGGTGAAGCCAAATCTGTCACCCAGTTGATATGTGCAAAAAACTGAACATATATTGTAAATCTTTGTAAATTATACAACTGCAGTTAAAGTTTCCTGCAATTGATTATATTTCCTACTCCAATTAATGAAAAACGTACATTTTTTTTAAAAAAAAAAGCCAGTTATTACTCAATTTATATATTTTAGTAAGGTACGAAGATGTTTTTTTTTACTCAATAACACCCAAACCTTAAACATAACACGTAAAGAGACAATGTCATTTTGGCTTAATTGGCCAAAGTGTCAGGGTTTGTGTAAAGGGGAACCCACCCCTCTAATACTCACCTTGCCTGCTGCCTCAGTCGGCTGGCAAAATTACCCAGTACTTCCCAGGAAAGGGAATCATGTGACCTCATCCCATTTGACAGTACTTGAGTCTAACCAATTGCTAAGCCTGGGCGCATGACAAAGGGAGTGATGTCACCTCTTAGTATCTGACGCTAGCCAAAACTGGGTATCAAAATACCAAATTGCTGGCTGTGACAAAGAAAGGAGTTGCGGGGGAGCACTGGCAAAGTCAGTATCAGTGGGAAAAGGCTGCACAGACACTGTCACCTTGCCCTGAATGTTTAATTTATCTTTTATGGGATCTTCAGGCACTAAATGTTGTCATACCTGCACAAGATCTCAAAGTTCTGCTGTCTTAGTGTCAAAAACTACTGATGCAACCTTAATAGTTCACCTATATAGTATCATCAAAATATAGTATATATTTTTCATTATATAAATAAAAAAACAGCATTAGGGAGTACTGCTTACATATCAATTATTGGCTTTATTAAGTGTAAACAAGCCTAATCTATTATAAATGAAAATTGGTGAGTTGAAGCCAAATCTGTCACCCAGTTGATATGTGCAAAAAACTGAACAGATATTGTAAATATTTGTAAAATTATACAACTGCAGTTAAAGTTTCCTGCAACTGATTATATTTCCTATTCCAATTAATGAAAAATGTACATTTTCCAAAAAAAAAGCCAGTTATTACTTAAGTTATATAATTTAGTAAGGTACGAAGATGGTTTTTTTTTTTGTTTTTTAATCAAGCAAATAATTGTATTTGTGATTCTCTGCACAGGTCTTGATTTCGTCTCCCTGCAATTTGATGCAGGCAGCAAATTTCAGCTCAGTGATGTCACTCTTGATTTCAGGGTAAGTGTTATGCAATTAGTACACAGTCACCATGGAAAACTGTAATCACACACAGGAATGGGCTTGTATTATCTCATTAATTGCTGCTTCAGCCTCAAATTTTGTGTATTTTACATCAAACTGCTTTGTTTAAGACAAAATTGCAAAAAGGAGCAGCAATGTAGTTAATGAGATTATCTACCAAAAAGTGGCCAAGTGTATCATACAAGGTTGTTATACTGTAAGTATACAGACTTTACTATTAAATCTTACTTCATTTTAAACTAAACACTTTAAAATAAACAGTCGAGTATTGGAATTACAAGATTTGCCATTCTCCAAGTGATCCTAAATCACTATGTACCTACTGACTTATAATGAATTTTCATATACTCACTACTCATGGCCCAGCCCTTGCCACATGAGTGTTGTTGCATGCCCCTTCCATACCCGGAAGTACTGTGTATATTCTTCTTCTATCAGTACCATGAGGAGTGGCGGGGAAAGCAAATTAAAGGTACGTTTTTTTTGTTGCTGGAGATGGAGTTGAAACCAAACAATTTGCTTTGCTTTGGATGGACAAATCCCAGATTTTCATTAAATGCCATTCAGCTGTCTAAACAGACGTACTCCACATTGCGTTTTGTTACTGTATAACAATTGTGCAATGAACTATTATTTCAGAAACATGGCTAACTAATTGACATTTGCACAGTTTCAGTTAAAAATTGTCCTTAGGATCAATGCACTTATGCAGCTGTCACAGCCAAAGCCATGGTGGCAGTCTGGGGCCCAGAGAGGTTATATATGGGCGAAGGGGTCAACATGAATTTATAGGTTATACTTCTTACCTGTCATTCGCAGCTTAATACAAAAGCTTCCCTACTATTCTTCTGGCCTACAGGCCTCTGGTTCTCCACATGATTTGTAATGTTTTGTAAAGGCCATAAGACTCCTGAGGGTGTCAACAGAAAAGCTAATGAACTTCTTTGCACTGCTTTGAATGGCAGGTGAGATGTATAATGAATACATGTGTCTATAGCCTGGACAGCCTTTCTCACAAAGCTGTTTTTTCTAACTCTCATTCATAGGAAAGTCTCTATTGCTCTCTATTTTTAAGGACATTCTCTTTCATTGGATGCTTTCACATGGCATTTTCTCTAAAAGGGCATTTTCCACAAGGCAGCCTGTTTCATGGGTAGCTTTTAAGCTGGCTCAAAATTTAAGATGGATCAAAATTTGGCCAGATCAGCAGGTACCGGATGAATTCTGATCCATCTATTACAGGTCTTGTTCGAGAGCAGTCGATCGACTGATCAACTTTTCATAAATAGGTTAGCTGGAAAAGTTTAATCCAATAGGCTGAAGCACTGATCAGTGTATTCTGACAGTGGAGGAGTCCAGCTTACTACTCCTCTGTCAGAATACAGTGACACAGCAGGGACGATTCCCCCGTCCACCTTGAATGTATGAGTGTTGGAATTGTTCAGTTTTACAGCCTGCTGACAAAGAAAAAAAAACTGATGTGTTGCCAGTTTTAGAAGACAATCTTTCTCTCAGTTCACTATCACAGTGCAAGTTCACATGGCATTATGACAGGGCACCCTCTTTTGAGGGCACTCTCTCTCATAAAACACTTTTCCTCAAAAAAAATATTAACAGGGCAATCTGTCTCACAGGACATTCTTCCAAGTGGCATTAAAACAGGGCACTCTCTCCCACAATACACTCTTTCACATGACAGTAGCCTCCCTGGCGGTATTGCCGAGTGTAGCTCAGGGTAAAGTTTCAGTACCACAAGCGGTAACCCCGAGCTACACTTGGGCTTACAATGCAGCGCTGCACCGCGATCCCTCGGTCACTTATCTTGTCCTTCACTCCAGCGATGTCCCTCCTGAAGTGTCCCCGGCAATGTAATCCAGCAGATTCCGACATCTGTCATCTGGGTTCCGTCCTCTGCGAGTGTCGGGACGTACGGGGGACGGAACGGCGGGAAATTTGAAAATGACAATAAGTGACATTCACAAAAATCGCTAAAATCACATAGTATAACATTACTGTATCAAACCATTTCACATACATTTTGGTCCCTAGTGCTTTGTCCTGTGCCCTGCCTGCATTTTGACTGTTCTTTCTGCCTGGAAACTTAGAAAAGTGCATGGCGTCCAAAAAGCGTCCCTTTAGGTCAAAAGTGGTTTTAGACCAGCTAGAGAACAGCGATAGTAAATTAGAACTACTTGCAGAATTGAGTGATAATGATTCGTGGGGAAATTCGTCATCAGACACTGAAAACGATTTTGCGACTTTGCTCAGTGATGTGCGAACTTGGCGCTATATTTCAAATTTCAGTGTTTTTGGTTTGATTATATTATTGAATTAAATTTACTATTATTATATTATTATTTTTTATGATTATTTATTAACCACTTGCCTACCAGGCACTTATACCCCCTTCCTTACCAGGCCAATTTTCAGCTTTCAGCGCTGCCGCACTTTGTACAACATTGCAACATTGTACCCATATGAAATTTTGATCATTTTTTTCTCACAAATAGAGCTTTTTTTTGGTGGTATTTAATCGCCACTGGGCGCTTTACTTTTTGCGCTATAAAATTTAAAAAAGTGCAAAAAATTTGAAAAAAAAAAAAAAGTTTATTTGTTTCTTTTATAAAATTTTTCAAACAGGTATTTTTTCTCCTTCACTGATTTGCGTTGATGAGGCGGCACTGATGGGCACTGATAGGCGGCACTGATAGGCACTGATAGGCAGCACTAAAGGGCACTGATAGGCAGTACTAATGAGGTGGCACGGATAGGCGGCACTGATAGACAGCACTAATTAGGGGTCACGGATAGGCGGCACTGATATGCAGCACTGATAGGCGGCACTGATAGGTGACATGATGGGGGTACTGATAGACGGCACTGACTGGCATCACTTCTGGGCACTGACTGGCGGCACTGACTGGCACAACCCCTGGGCACTGACTGGTGGCACTGACTGGCAGCACTGCTGGACTGCACTGGTGGGTGGCACTGGTGGGCAGCACTGGTGGGTGGGCACAGGTGGGTGGCACTGGTGGGCACAGGTGGGTGGCACTGGTGGGCACAGGTGGGTGGCACTGGTGGGTACAGGTGGGTGGGCACAGGTGGGTGGCACTGCTGGGCACATGTAGGTGGCACTTCTGGGCACAGGTAGGTGGCACTGCAGAGTGGCACAGGTGGGTGCACTGCTGGGCACAGGTGGGGGCACTGCTGCTGGGCACAGGTGGGGGCACTGCTGGGAACGGGTGGGCGGGGCTAGTGGGCGCACTGCTGGGCGGAACTTGCGGGTGTCACTGCTGGGCACCGATCATCAGGGCACTGATCATCAGTCCTGATGATCGGTGCCGATCCCCGCTCTGACAACTGCCGGTTCTCGGCAGTACTTTCCTCACAATCTGACAGCGTGAGGAAAGTGCAGCCGAGAACCGGCACTTGCATTTCCCTGTGATCAGCGTGTCATTGGACACCGCTGATCACGTGGTAAAAGGCCGATGGGATCGGCCTTTCACCACATCACGTGATCAGCTGTGTCCGTAGGACACAGCGATCATGGAGATCGCTGGGTGCGCGCCCCTGGGGCGCGCAGGAGAGCGCGTTCTGGGAGGACGTCATATGACGTCCACTCAGAACTGGCCGGCCGCGGTGAAGCCGTCATTCGGCTATGCGCGGTCGGCAAGAGGTTAAATTATAATTTATGATTTCGTGTTTCAAGTTTTATCCTACCCGGGATGTTTACTAGACTCTGTTTGGACAGATTTCAGTGAGTTATTCCTAAGAATTACAGGCCTATAATATAAAATTCCAAATTTCCATGCAAAATAATGGTACCGCTTTCAGCACCAAAAATCTGAAATAATCATACCGCTAGGGAGGTTAAAACAGGGCATTCTGTCTCACAGAACACTCTTCCACATGACAATATAACAGGGAGCTCTTTCTAATAGAATACTCTTTCACAGGACACTTTTCACATGGCCCTATCACAGGGCACTCTCTCACACAGGACCAGGGGCGGACTGACCATTTGGAAACTCGGGCACTGCCCGAGGTCTCGGGGTCAGTAGGGGGCCCCATGAGATTCCCCTGGTACCTTTTTCATAAGCTTTTTTGAGTTTGGGCAAGGACACAGAGGCCCCATGATCGACTATTGCCCGGGGCCCCATGAGTTGTCAGTCCGCCCATGCACAGGACATTTTCACATGACATAATACCAGGACTCTCTTTTATACAGGACACTCTTCCACGTGGCATTATAAAAGGGCACTTTTTCATAGAAGACACTCTTTCACATGGCAATATCAAAGGGCACTCTCACTCACAAATCATTTTACACAAGTCATTTTATCAGGGCAACATGTCTTACAGTACACTCTTCCAAATGGCATTATTACAGGGCAGTCTCTCCCACAATACATTCTTTCACATGGCCTTATAACAGGGCACTCTCTCACATAGGACTCTCTTCCTCATGGCATTATAACAGGGAGCTCTCTCTCATCTGACACTCTTCCACATGGAATTATAACAGGGAGCTCTCTCTCATAGGACACTCTTCCACATGGCATTATAACAGGGAGCTTTCTCTCATAGGACACTCTTCCACATGGCTTATAACAGGGAGCTCTCTCTCATAGGACACTCTTCCACATGGCATTATAACAGGGAGCTCTCTCTCATAGGACACTCTTCCACATGGCATTATAACAGGGAGCTCTCTCTCATAGGACACTCTTCCACATGACATTATAACAGGGAGCTCTCTCTCATAGGACACTCTTTCACAAAGCACTTTTTCACAGGACATTATAACAGGGCACTCTCTCTCACAGAACATTTTTACATAGCATAATACCAGGACACTCTTTCTTACAGGACACTCTTTCACATGGCCCTATCACAGGGCACTCTCTCCCACAGGACATTTTCACATGGAAAAATACCAGGAGAATTCTTACAGGAGACTCTTCCACATGGCAATATCAAAGGGTACTCTCTCTCACAAAACATTTTTCCACAACTCATTTTATCAGTGCAATCTGTCTCACAGGACACGCTTCCAAATGGCATTATAACAAGGCACTCTCTCCCACAATACAGTCTTTCACATAGCAATATAACAGGGCACTCTCTCTCACAGGACTCTCTTCCACATGGCAATATCAAAGGGTACTCTCACTCTCACAAAACACTTTTCCACATGGCATTATAACATGGCACTCTGTCTCACAGAACATGCTTACACATGGCATTATAAAGTGAGGGCTCTCTTATAGGACACTCTTTCACATGGAATTGTAACAGGGCACTCTCACTGGACATGCATTCACATGTTATTATAACAGGTCACTCTCTCTCACAGGGCAATCTTTCACACGACACTATCACAGGACACATTATCTCACAGAATACTCTCTCACATGTAACTGTTTTGGGGCACACTTTCTTTTAACAGCACTGTCACAGGGCAGTCAATCTCATAGGACAGACCAACAAGTTGGCACTATTATAGGTCATATAATATTACTTATGTTATACATAGAAGCAGAGATATGTGATGTATTTTCACTTCCTGCTTGGATTACCTTTGTTAACATGTCCTCCTTTTTTTAACTGTCATTTTACAGAGCCCCCGACCAGCTGGCATGTTAATAGAGAGATCTTTAGACTTTGGCAGAACATGGCATGTGTATCAGTATTTTGCTTATGATTGTGCAACTGCTTTTCCGCACATTAAACGGGGTCGTCCCCAACACCTAGAGGATGTGCATTGCCAGGAGCTGTATGGTAACCCAACGCAAGGAGGCAAGGTAAGACACAACTGTAAATATGAAAATGAACGGATGTGTTAAACATATTCATGTCAGAAATTCTATGCTGTATCATCATAAGGAAAGAAATGACAGATAGAAAAGATGATAATTACATAAGCCCTTATTTTAAGCCAGTCTATGCAAAATAACAATGGCTTGGACAACCAGGAGGTAGATGCTTGTGTAATAACATATATACAGTACAATATATATATATATTATATATATATATATATATATGTATATATATATATATACATACACACTATATTGCCAAAAGTATTGGGACACCCTTCCAAATCATTGGATTCAGGTGTGAAATCAAGCACCTAGGCATGCACAGTGCTTCTACATTTGTAAAAGAATAGGTCAATCTCAGAAGCTCATTGTATTCAAGCGTGGTACTGTGATAGGTTGCCACCTGTACAATAAGTCCATCTCTGAAATGTCCTTGCTACTAAATATTCCAACGGCCAACTGTTAGTGGTATTATAACAAAGTGAAAGCAACTGAGAACAACAGCAACTCAGCCACAAAGTGGTAGGCCACTTAAAATGACAGAGCGGGGTCAGTGCATGCTGAACTGCACAGTTGCGCAGAAGTCACTGTCAGCGGAGTCAATAGCTAAAGACTTTCAAATGTGGCCTTCAGATTAGCACAACAACAGTGCATAAAGAGCTTCATGGAATGGTTTCCATGGCTGAGCAGCTGCATCCAAGCCTTACATCACCAAGTGCAATGCAAAGCATCGGATGCAGTGGTGTAAAGCACACTGCCACTTGTGGAGACGTGTTATCTGGAGTGATGAATCATGCTTCTCTGTCTGGCAATCCGATGGACATGTCTGGGTTTAGCAGTTGCCAGGAGAACGGTACTTGCCTGACTGCATTGTGCCAAGTGTAAAGTTTGGTGGAGGGGTGGATTATGGTGTGGGGTTGTTTTTCAGGGGTTGGGCTTGTCCCCTTAGTTCCAGTGAAGAGAGCTCTTAAGGAGTCAGCATACCCAGACATTTTAGACAATTTCATGCTCCTAACTTTGTGGGAAAACATTGGGGATGGCCCCTTCCTTTTCCAACATGACTGAGCACCAGTGCACAAAGCAAGGTCCATAAAGACACGGATGAGCGAGTTTGGTGTGGAGGAACTTGACTGGCCTGCACAGAGTCCTGATCTCAACCCGATAGCACACCTTTGGGATGAATTACAGCGGAGACTGCGAGCCAGGCCTTCTCATCCAACATCAGTGCCTGACTTCACAAATGCGCTTCTGGAAGAGTGGTAAAACATTCTCATAGACACACTCCTAAACCTTGTGGAAAGTAGGGATGTCCTTGATGTTCGAGTCGAACATAAGTTCAACTCGAATATTGGGTGTTCTGTGAACACACAAATGGTTAGAGCGTTCGGCGGGCTGTTCGCCTGCCGCACCCCACAATGCACTGCACTCTGACAGTGCATTGTGATTGACCAAAGCAATGCACCTGACCTCAGGTCAGGTGCAATGCTTTGGCCAATCACAGCACAATTGGGCAGAGCTAGTGGTGAAGTCACAGCACCAAATTGTACATCGAAGTCAAATGTCGAGTAGCGAGTGCTCGGCAAGTGTGGACGGGTCTGCGGGCATTATTTTTTTTTAATTTTAGCATTGTTGTGAAAATGCTGGATGCCATGATTGATGATGGATTACAACAATGGAACCATTTTTATGGCTACCATGTACCCCATACTCATTCACATAGGTGGGCCCTAAGGGGCTTCTAGGCTCTAAAGGGGGCTTCCAGATTCTGATAAGTCACCCCCTGCAGACCCCCACAACTACAACCAAGGGTTGGGGGAAAGAGGTCCTTGTCCCCATCAACATGGAGACAAGATGCTTTGCCCCAAAGCACCCCCCATGTTGAGGTCATGTGGCCTGGTAAGGATCGGGGGGGGGGGGGGGACTCGCTTGTGGCTCAGATCAAGGCCTGTGCTTACATCAAGGGTCTGGTAGGAATTTAGGGGGGGGGGCTCACGCTTTTTTTTACCCATTTTTTTGGGTAGGGTTTCCCTTAAAAGTCCTACCAGGCCTAAAGGACCTGGTATAGCTTTTAGGGGGAACCCCATGCACTTTAAAAAAAATCATTTTTCACTGTGGGATCCCTCCTAACCTTCCTATCAGACCTAAAGGGTCTGGTGTGAATTAAGGGGGGGACCCCATGTTGTTTTTTTTGTCAGTCCAGCTGCAGCAGTTTCTAAACATTTTACAGATGTGCAACTTTGCGGGTAGTTTAAGGGGACCCCCCTAGGCATGATCTTTAAAAATATTTTTTTTTCTTTACTTTAACCCATTGATGCCATACCATTTGAAAGCACATATGTGCTGATAGCGCGC